TAAAATAAAGTAACTTATCCAAAATTGAACAGCTAGTTAAGTGATGAGCCTGCAATTTGACCAAAGATTTTAGCCTCAGTTCTGTCTTCTTAACCACAGAGCATGGCTTCAAATATAATACTTGATTAAGAGAGCTCTGGGCCCAATGTAAAAGCCAATGCCTGTCTAAAATGTGGAAATTGATCTTAGCAAGTGTGTCCTTTCTACTGATACAAATTCACAGATATTCTACCTTCCATGGTACTCCTTGTGTAGCTGTTCAGATCTTTCTTACACCTTTTTGGAGAAATGCATAAAAAACCAGTTTGGCTAAATAGTTGCTGAATAGGTAGGCCTTCAAAAAGAGACAGGGCATAGAGATGTGCCAGGTTATATAATGAAATTTGCTTCTACCTTTGCTATCTCTTTTAGTCTTCTTGGAAGATTTAAATTATTTTTCTTTCTTCCTTTGGTGAAGAATTTCTTTCCTTTGAAATGTGAATTGTGTAGCAAGATTAGCCATAAGGTAGCCCAGTTACCTCTGAGTAATAAGTAAATAAGTAATAGCAAATAAGGAACCAAGAGCTTGGGTGGATCTATCCTATCTGCTTCTAGCTTTTTCATGTGCCCTTGATCTTGGGTCTGTTGCAGAATGTTAGATAATGCATGAGGCTTTTTTTTTCCAGTTTGGTATGAATTGGTAACAGTTCACCTTGCTCTGCGGTTCTCTTCAGCAAAAGATATTTTAAGGGCATTTGTGGTCAGAGTATAATGTGATATCCACTATGCTCTGATCTTACAGCTCACTTAAATATGCATTATGACAGTGAACAACTTCTCTTTCCTTAGAAGGCAACTAGAGAGCTGAGTCAATAAAGCAATATTTATAGCTAAGAAACCATACAAAGACACTATCTACTTGTAGAATTTTTACATTAGATCAATACCCATTTGTGTGCCTGAGAGTTGACCTATGCACATTACAACTGCAGAGGTAACCCAAACATTATTTTTCATTCAAAGCAAGCTGCATGGGAACAGGATCCCGACAACAGAGGGGACGGAGAAGCATCAGGGGCAGGGCACAGATGGGATGGAAAAACCTCATGGTCACTGCTCCTGAGCATCTTAAATGAGGCATTTGAGTCTTCAACAAGGTCATTAGCGGTGCATGGAGCAAAGGCTTATTTTTAAAGTTTTGACGTAGCCCATGGAATGCTTTGTTCCTAATTTAGAGCACTTGTCCTGAGAGCATCAAGTCTTCAGCATCTGTTGCCACTTACCATGTGTTTTGTGTACAACAGACCCAAATCCACTTGAGGTGAAGTTACAGAGTGAGGCAGCTCTAAGAGGAGCCGGCAAGGCCTAGGAGAGAGGTTGTTTGGGGGAATATTTAGATAAAAACCCAGTTTTACAAAAAGATATCTGGAATATGAAGGTTGGAGTAATTTCAGTGAGTATTCACTTTTCCCCCTTTCTTTTATGAGTGGATTATGTACTTCCTGACCTGACCCTTCTGAGTTTGGACTGCTATGTGACTTGCTTTGGCCATGAAATGTGAGATGACTTAATTGAACCTATACAGACAGGGTTGGTTCTTGCTCTCTGTGATCTACTGTGAGAGAAGCCACTGCTGGGTAGATGCTGCTCTTTCTGCCTAAGTTTAAAACAAACAAACAAAACCCACAAGAGCAGAAAATCCGAGTCCAATCCAATCCTTAGTTTAGCCAAACCGGAGCGATCCTACTGAGCCCAACCTAGATTAATCAACCTCCAAGTCCATGATTTTGATATTAATGCTTGTTATTAATGTTATTTGGATGTTTGTTACATAGCAGTATTACAGTAATGGGTGACTAATACATGGAGTTAATGATTTGCATGAGTTTTTCTGTACCTGGGCAGACATTGATGTAATTTTTTTTAACTTTTATTTAATGAATATAAATTTCCAAAGTACAGAATATTGATTACAATGGCTTCCCCCCCATAACGTCCCTCCAACCCGCAACCCTCCCCTTATCCACTCCCTCTCCCCTTCCATTCACATCAAGATTCATTTTCGATTCTCTTTATATACAGAAGATCAGTTTAGCATACATTAAGTAAAGATTTCAACAGTTTGCTCCCACACAGAAACATAAAGTGAAAAATACTGTTTGAGTACTAGTTATAGCATTAAATCTGATGTAAATTAACATGATAGTTTAGAACTCCTTCATATAAAGTATGGAAAAGGAGCTTTTCTCAGCTTTAGTTAGGAATTCTGAGACAAGAGGTTTGTGACATAGTGGGCTACCCTGTAACAAAGTGCACACTTGTACTAAAGGCAAACCTGTTGGAGAACTATTATTAGCAGACATCTAGGGGTGGCAGGAGAGTATTTAAGTTAATTGATTTTAGCCCGTATTCTGGAGACTTTATTGAAATTCTCACATCCATAGAGATTGCCTTAAATATTATCTGGAACCTGAACATTTCATATTTTTAAAATTTGAAAAAAAAATCAGAGTATCAGGAAATATTGAGACCACATTACTTTCTGATATGGGACAAGATTATTTGTTCCCTTTAGACTGTGTGTGTAGTTTTTAGTTGCTGAGTCCCTGCCATGTTCTATTACTCATATTCAGATGTTTCATGTGTTTTTGTTACTTGTTGTATCCTTACAGGCCCTGAGATTTGTGACATTTGCAGGATTAACAACTGTCACCCTGTTAAAAATGAAAACAAAAACCAAAAACCAAACAGGCAAAGAATGGTCCATATGCTTAGCTCAGAGTAGTTGCTCAAATGGGTGACCCTATGGCAGTTTTGCCTGGGACAGTCCTGGTTGATGCCTATTGTCCTGGGCTAGTATATTAATTTGCATGAAAAATTATAGGGCTGTGCCTGGCAGTTGATACTGGCTTGCAGCTGGGACCTCAGCTGGGCCTGTCAACTGGAGCACCTCACATGGCCTTTCTAAGTGTTCTGAGCTTGCTCACAGCATGGTGGCTTCTGAGTAGCTGATCTTCTTACGTAGTGACTCAAGGTACTTGAGGATATAAGGCCAAAGCTGTAGCCATTGCCTTGTTTGATTTATCTTTGGAACTCATACATAACACTACTGCCCCATTCTTTGGTCACAGTCTTGCCTAGATTCAAGACAGTGGACATAGAACTAGGTAGTGTTCAGTGACTAGGTACTTAGTAGTGAAGCAAGGACTACAACTGAGACTGATGACTACTCATTGTTAATTCTTCTGTACCAAGAACCCTCACTGACTCTATTCTCCATCATATTTACTATTCTACCTAGAAAGGTAATATGTGAACATCTATGTATTTAAGAAACCTTGCATGGTCTTCAGATCTTATAAAACCTCGGAATTATATACAAAACCTCCCCTTTTTTTAAATGTGTGTGCTTGTCAGAATTCTCTGTGGCAGACACTGTTTCAGTATTTATTGAAGGGCATTGAATAGCTCACAGAATCTCTGAGAGGGTCGGAGAATTAGGTTTGGAAACTACCTAGGCAGGAACAACTCTGAACTTACACTGCATGCTAACTGCTCTAGGGAAGATCCTGCTTTGCATGGTCATAAACAGAGTCACTGTACCTAACCCACTGGCAGGCCACACAGTATACCCGAACCTCTGCCTACAGCTGTCTCTGAAATGTCTGTCTTCGTCTCCATCCTCACCAGCCTGGTTCTGGGCCTGCTTCTGAATCTCATTTATTTCCAAATAGATGTCTTTAGTGTATGTATTGTTTTTCTTAAGGTTTATTTTATTTATTTGAAAGAGTTACAGAGAGAGGTAGACCAGAGTGAGAAAGGTCTTCCGTTCCATTGGTTCACTCTCTAAATGGCTGCAACTGCCAGAGCTGACTGATCCGAAGCCAGGAGCCAGCATCTTCTTCCAGGTCTCCCACGCAGGTACAGGGGCCCAAGGATTTGGGCCATCTTCTACCGCTTTCCCAGGCCATAGCAGAGAGCTGGATCTGAAGGGGAGAGAACTGGCACCCATATTGGATACTGGCACTACAGGCTGGGGCTTTAACCCACTGTGCCACAGCGCCGACCCCTAGTGTATGTATCTAATCGGTGAACCTTAGGCTGTGTGTCTGCAACATAGCTACAACTATGAGAAGTTAAGTTTACAGCGTTTACTGTAGCAACATGATGATTAATAAGGCAAAAAAAAAAAATCCTCAGCAAAGAACCATGTTTATAAAGTGCTAAGAAGGCAAAAATCATAAAAATATATTATGTGACTGTACACAGTGTGTGATTTTCTGGATCATGTATGCTGTTTTCATTAAATCTTCAAAGATTTTCCTAGTCCTCACCTATTAAGTCACTGTCACATGGACTCCGCTTGTGTAAATACAAATTGGGGCGCGGAATCCTATATGGGCACCAGTTCAAGTCCTGGCTGCTCCACTTCCAATCCAGCTCTATGGCCTGGGAAAGCAGTACAAGATGGCCCAAGTCTTTGGGCCCCTGCACCCACGTGGGAGACCAAGGGGAAGCTCCTCGGTCCTGGCTTCAGATGGGTAAAGCTCAAGCCATTGTGGCCATCTGGGGAGTAAACCAGCAGATGGCAGATCTCTCTTTTTCTCTTTGCCTCTGCCTCTCTGTAACTCTGCTTTTCAAATAAATAAATAAATCAATCTATCTTTAAAAAACACAAATTGGTGTGTTTATGTCCTTTTATGTATGAATCTATTACACATTTCAGAATTGAGCCTTATGAGGTCCAATTATCTTTACTCCAATAATGCAATCAATTAGTAAAAGCCATAGATTGGAGTGGAATTTTTGTCTTTTGAGTGGTATTTTGTTCCATTGTGAAATCTTTGTTTTGTATTTTTTCTCTGGGGTGATAGTAAAATACAAAATTCGCTAATGCCATGATTAACAAGGATGCTTATTTTAATAGATTTTGTTTGTTTGGCTTCTACTTTGAGAATAAAATGTCAAAAACAAAGGAAAACAGAAATTACAGCAAGTTCCCAGTAACAATCTTTTCTAAAAATAGACTTTCATGGGTGGCTTCGAGTAAGAATATATCAGTTCAACTTTCTAGAATTTCCCATACTTGGTATACAAATTCTTTCAAGATTCAATAAATTGTCAACTATAAAAATATCAACTTTTTTCACTGAATCATTAGAGAGGGCAGGAATGTAGAGTAAAGCATTTTTGGGGATTCCAGATGACATAATATTATAACTTAAAGGAACAGAGGGAGAGTGTTTTGTGCAAGATCAGCAAGTTCACAACAGAGAATGAATTGGAGTTGAGGAATTCTGATTCTTAGCCTAGCGCCTTTTCCTCTCAAATACCCTCAGGAAAGCTTATAACACAGATTTTGTACCTGTTAGTTACTGCCATGTGACAAGCCATTGGAAAAATTTTGTTGCTAAAAAAAAATACCATTTGTTAATGCATACAAGTTTGTAGGCTGTTTTGGAGTTTGATACCTTAGCTGGGCTCACTTTCATGTCCATGATGTGCTGCTGTTTGGTTGGATGGTTCAGCTTTAGCTGGGAAACTGAGGTTACCTTTGCTTCCTCAGGTTTCTCATCCTCCAGCCAGCTAGCATAGATTTACTCTCATGGTGATGTCAGGGTTTCCAAAGATTGAAGCCCAATGCAGGAAGGAAAATAATAATCTCATTCTTGTACCCAATGCCCATTTTAAGGTCAATCCCTTATTTAAGGGTAGAGATCAGACATTACCTCTTGCTGGCAGGATATGTAAAGTCAAATACAAAAATGCAAGAGTCTGTGAAAAAGTAGCACCATTTTTGCCATCAGTCTACCATAGGATAGTTAATTCATTAATTCATGCAGCCTTTATTTATTGTCATCCTTTGCGCCTGGACCAGTGCTACTATTAAACCTAGGGGATAAAATAAAGAGGAATAATTTATCTTGTACTTCTTTCATTTTTATTTTATTTTGAAAAATATTAAAATACTATTTCTTATTGATTCATTTATTTGCAAGGCAGAGAGAGAGAGAGAGAGAGAGAGAGAGAAGGAAAGAGAGATCCTTTCAACTGATTCATCCCCCAAATGACTGCAGTGGGCTCTAGCCAGGGCTGAAGTTAGGAGCCAGCAATCCAAATCTCCCATGTAGATGGCAGGGACCCAATCACCTGAGCCATCGCCACTGCCTCCCAAGGTATGCATTAGCAAGAAACTGGAATCAGGAGATGGAGGTGCGTATCCGACTCAGGTAGCCCGATGTGGGATGCTGGCATCTTAATTTCTAGGCCAAATGCTTGCACTCTTGTAGTTATTTCTCAATGAAAAATATCATGTAATCAAAATATCTGTTTCACAATTTCGTGATGCAGGGTCAGATTTTCTATCAACGTCCAGAAAGACATTAGTCCTTAAATTTGATGTTGCATCTTCTACAAAAATAAACTCACACAGAAATTCAGGAGTAATTTAGGGTGTATAAATTAAAATTGGCTTTGGTTAGAATAATTGACTTTTCAAAGGTGCAGCCAACAGGGAACTGTCAGGCTAGATGAATTTTTACACATCTCAGAGAGAAATTGGAGCTCTAACTGCTAAATTTAACTTACAAGGATATCATACATACATTTGACAACTTGAAGGTCTTTAGATTATAGAGGGAGTTTTTATCATCTCTATCTGATATTTTCCTAGCTAATTGCTATTTCAGCTGAGATATGGGAGAGAGGCTACAGCATGTCCCCAAACAGTGAATGAGCTATTTCATTTTTAGACTTAGATTGGTTGCTTTCCTCTGGAGACTGATAGTAAAATTCTCATGTCAGCCAGTTGCAGGGCCTGGTCTGGGTAGTGTCAAATAAGTTTTTCAGGAAAATAATTAAAAATTTTCAAAATATACATCATACAAGCTAAGTTTTCTAAGAGAACAACTAAAAAGTGAGGTAAATAGAAAACAAAACCTTTTCTTAGAAAGTAATGAACAGACAAGATAGCAGGTAATTAGAAGGCCAAAATCTAAGGGAATGTTAGAATCCAGAGAGATAAGAAGAGCACTGTACCCTTCATTCTGGGGATTTTTACCCACCTAGGTAAACGTTAACTTCTTTAGTATGCGTGGCCTAACTGGATAGAACAGAAGTCTCAGAGCCCACTAAAATCAGAGTCTAGTAGGAGGCTCTTCAGCCATAGAGCTGGTACTCCAAAGGGTTCAAAATTGGGATAAAGGAAAACTAGCAGTTATCCTAGCTTTGTCTTGACAATAGAGCCTGCAATGAAAGTTTCATTCTCAGGTGCTGGAAACTTTTTCCAAAATGGTTGTATCTACAACCTGGCCTCATTAGAATTTTCGTTCTTCAAATCGACCATCAAATTTCAAAAACAGTAAAGCAAACAAAGAAACAAACAAAAAACTGTATCTACTACAGAGGTGTGGGTTGTATTCTCCACTAACCACCATGTAGAAACAAATACCAGTTCTTTCTATCAGAAGGCTTTTTCCATCCTAGGACTCAGAGAATTCCCATAAATAGTTTAAAAAGGAAAATAAGCCTTTCATATTAAATACTTTTAAAGATTTATTTAGATATTTGAGGGGCAGAGTTATAGACAGAGGGAGAGACAGAGAGGGGGCTCTTCCATCTGCTGGTTCACTCCCCAAATGGCTGCAACATCTGGAACTGGGCTGATCTGAATCCAGGAGCCAAAGCCAGGAGCTTTTTCCAGGTCTCCCACATGGGTGCAGGTGCCCAAGTACTCAGGCCATCTTCCACTGCTTTCCCAGGCCAATAGCAGGGAGCTGGACTGGAAGTGGAGCACCTGGTATTTGAACCGGCACCCATATGGTATGCCAACTCCACAGGCAGAGGCTTAACCTATGAGGCCACAGCTCTAGCCCTGTATAGAAAATATTAAGTACACAAGAAAATAAAGTACTATGAGCAATAACTAGCAGAGACTAACCTGTGAACCTCATAGAAAATCACTGACTACACATAAAGGAAACCAAACAACATAGCTGTACTCTTTGGAGGACAGAAAGCTATGAAAGGCAACTTTAAAGTTTCAAAAGAATGTCAAATAAAGCCTCTAGAAATTTATAACTTCAATAGTTGAAATGAAAAACACACTACTCAGTAGGCACATTTAACAACAGATTAGACAGAACAAAAAAGAGCATCACTGAATTGGAAGATAGGTCAGAACTGTGAAGTAGGCAGTTAGTGGGAAATGGTAGTGTCCTCAGATACCATCATAAGCCAGTGTGCTGAATGAACTTGAGAAGGAACTGAGGAAGAGTGGAGAGGATTGCTGGAGGGCATGGGTAACTGTAAAAATTACTTTATCAGAAAATAAGATAGGAAGGAGAAGCCAGGGTGGAAACAGGGAGGGAGGGAGTAGATGGTAGAAGTATCATTATGTTCTTAAATCTGTATGGAACACCTGAAATTTGTTCCCTTTATATAAATTAAAAGATTAAAAAAATACTTCATCACTTGTGTTTTTCTAATTTCACCTCAAGTTATGCAGGGCTTGGACAGACCATAAATAAAATAATTAGCATAGACCATGGTCTTATTTCCTCAGAAGTAGAGTCTAACACATAATAAGATAGAATAATCCAATAAAATAGACCACATACCCATGTGAGTTATGGAAATAGAAAGGGCAGGACATGATGTCAAATATATTCACATGAAAATTCTGGTATGTCTAGGTTCTAGAAGCAGGGAAGAGCTCTTTGGGTCAGTATCCTGAAGGTTTAAGTAATGAGAAGGGTATCTCAGTCAACATGGGAATCTCCAAGATGTCTCTTCATCATAGTTGGCCAGTGGAACAACGTTTTATCTTGCATGTCATATAAGTGTGTAATCTCCTGAGTGTTAAAGGATATTTAGGATGAGTTCAGGCCGTGTGGGGATATATTATTATCTTCATGAATTCAGAAGGCATTGGTAGGTTTTGCCTTATTTTTGAAAACTCAATCATTTCATTATTTTGAGCACCCATCTCCTAAAAAACAAACAAAAAAGGAAAACTTCAGTTAATTATTTTTCATATTAGCTAAGTTCTAGGAGGCCTCCATATGCCAAGATAAGTCAGATGGAGAACCTATTCATTTTCAATGTCATCTTTCTGTGCAAGAGTCCCGAGACATCTATTGCCCACCCTTGCTACTCTCCTCCAGGCCCATTTATATCCTAAGTTTCCTGTTTTGTATATTTCGTCCATGGGAGTCCTGGAATTTTTCTGTTTCCATGCCACACTAGGATACAGGAATTTCTTGAAGCTATCCAAGTACAATTTGCTAAGGTTGACTGTTCCCTCTGGGGTTTTGTCATTTCTTTGTTGCTTTGAACAAGGAGGCAAAAATTCCTCTCAGGAACCTCTGACATCTAGACTCTTAATACATCCCCTACATCTCTTTATTTCCCCCAGATCATGCAGAAGCCACTTGTCTCCTAATTTTTACAAACATTCTGCCCATAACTGAAATCCTTTCCATTCACCTGAGCATTCTGTCTTTTGATGAAAAATCCCAGAAGCAGACTTACAGACTTGCAGCTCTGTCACATGGCTGCTCCCATTCCTTGAAACATAGAATGCAGAAATGCTCAGCTTTTTGAGTAAATGGAAGATCAGATGGAGAAAAGATTGAATTATTGTATATTTTAAAGAGTAGTCAGTTGCTTATATTGAGAAGGAGCACTGCCCTGGATCCATTCAAGGGAAATTCTTGCCACAGGTGCCATGCTTTGATGGCCTCACTGTGGCCCTTTTTCTTGCTTTGTTTCCTCCACAGAGGAATCTTCTGGGCCTAGGGCAACTGCTAACCCGGAAGCCACAAATTCTTTTGAGATCATGCTTGGCAACCCAGAATCCTTTGTTCAAATGGCCCCAAGCCCAATTCTAGGGTTGGTAGAGGCCTCTTCCCTGGGTCCATTCCCCTGAGCATGGATCAAGCTAAAGTCATAATTCAGTTATAAGTTAGGTTCACACAAGGGGCAGCTTGAGGTTTGACAAGAAAAGATGTGTAAGTTCTACTTCATTGCCAGATTTATAGAAACCAGTTTATCTTATTATTCTGGGTATGTTACTTACAGATAAAATGGAGCTTTTCTTGATGTGTTGAGTGTTGGGATTGAGCCTTTAGCCTGCTCCGGAGTTCACCTGTGAAATCTCTCTACCCACCTGAGAAGTCCTTTACTTCTCTGCCATGGATGTTTTCTGGCCACAGGAGCAAGATCAACCAATGGATGAGACAGATCACAAGTGCTAGGGAGCTAATGCCTCAGAAAAGACCCCAATCAATAAGTGATGAGCGTCAGTAGACACATACCCAGGTTCTTCCCATCTTGGTGAGGGCTGCTGCTCGATTCTTCTGGAGGGTGCCCAGTAGTACTGAGCCCTGTTTCTCCCAGTGACAATCTTCTCATTAAAGTAGTTTTCTTTCTTTTTAAAGATTTATTTATTTACTTGAGTTACAGAGGGAGAGACAGAGAGAGAGGTCTTCTATCTGCTGGTTCACTCCCCAAATGTTCGCAAGTGTTGGATTTGAGCTGATCCAAAGCCAGGAACCAGCAGCTTCTTCTGGGTCTCCTATGCAGGTGCAGGGGCCCAAGCACTTGGCCCATCTTCTGCTGCTTTCCCAGGCCACCAGCAGGGAGCTGGATCAGAAGAGGAACAGCTGGGACCGGCACCCACATGGGATGCTGGCACAGGCAGGCAGAAGCTTAACCTATTACACCACAGGACCAGCCCCCAAAATAGCTTTCTTTAACTTGCCTCATATTATTATTCTTAAAAGCAGAATAAATAAATAAAGAAAATAGAGAAAGTTATTGGAATGACTTTGAAAGATTTTAGGGTATTTTTTTTTCTGTGATAACCATATACAAAGAGAGAGAAAAAAAACTGGGAAAGTAGCTTAAAGATACTTTATAGTGCATTATGAATTCATTCCAGTGTGGCAGTTTATCTTATGATTTCAGAATGAATTTATTTCCTAAATAAATGTCTTGGCCTCAGATCTCTCACTGGGTTATGGACTGTATCCTAGGTTTAAAAACTAGGCCGGCGCCGCGGCTCAATAGGCTAATCCTCCACCTAGCGGTGCCGGCACACCAGGTTCTAGTCCCGGTCGGGGCACCGGATTCTTTCCTGGTTGCCCCTCTTCCAGGCCAGCTCTCTGCTGTGGCCTGGGAAGGCGGTGGAGGATGGCCCAAGTGCTTGGGCCCTGCACCCCATGGGAGACCAGGAGAAGCACCTGGCTTCTGCCTTCGGATCGGCGCAGTGCACCTGCTGCAGCACCACTGGAGCGGCCATTGGGGGGTGAACCAACGGAAAAGGAAGACCTTTCTCTCTGTCTCTCTCTCTCTCACTGTCCACTCTGTCAAAAAAACAAAAAAAAACAAAACAAAACAAAAAAAAAAACAAACAAAAAAACACTAATGATTGCCCTTTGCTTTATCTAAGTTAGAAACAACTATGGGAAACAATTCTTAGAAGAAGAAGAAGAAGGCTGGCATGTGGCTCACTTGCCTAATCCTCCGCCTGCAGCACCAGCACCCCAGGTACTAGTTCCGGTTTCTCCTCTTCTAGTCTAGCTCTCTGCTGTGGCCCGGGAGGGCAGTGGAGGATGGCCCAAGTGCTTGGGTCCCTGCACCCGCATGGGAGACCGGGAAGAAGCTCCCAGCTCCTGGCTTCGGATTGGCGAAGCACTGGCCATAGCGGCCATTTGGGGAGTGAGCCAATGGAAGGAAGACCTTTCTCTCTGTCTCTCTCTCACTAACTCTGCTTGGCAAAATAAATAAATAAATAAAAATAAAGGGGAAGATAAAAAAAAAAGCTGTTAAATGTGTCTGACCCAGTCTGAGGGGTGTATGTGTGTGTGTGTGTGTGGGAGGTGTATATGCACACTTGCATATCACTCTTACTTCTGTCTGCCTGTGTGACTGTTGAGATATACAATATGATTCATTTTGATAGGGCAGCCTTCAAGGTATACTTATCTGGTCATAATTATAATCAAGAAACCTGCACCTTTAACCACACTGAGCCTAGGGCAGATGGAGCGCCTGGAAAATAGTAGTTGTTTATCAAATATGTGTGGACTGGAGGTGTTGCTAGAAAAATGTAAACATGGGCATCTTTTTGGCCTCTCCCAGTGTAAGAATAATTTTATTTCCCCTACTTGGTTTGTGAGCCTTTGGGGGAACTGAATTAGGCAACACTAGAGCATTCAGGAAGGATAGAATGAGTCACATTGGAAAGGTTAAAGGATTTCTGAAAAGGTTAGAGATGGTTAAAGAAAATAGAATAAATCCAGAGATAAAGGTGAGGGGAGAGAGGATAAAAGCCTGCTCGGACTGAGTAGTGAAGGAAAATTGGACAGTAGCTCCTTTATTTGTGACAATCATATATAGAGAGAAAGAGATGGGGAAAGCAGTTTTAAGACTTTGTGGGATGAATCAAATCCCATTTTGGTACTTTTTATAGTGACTTTGGTACACATTTATCTTTCCTTTTCAATTTTTTTTTTTTTTTGGTGTTGGGCAGTTATTACTTTGAATACAACACTGCCTGGATATTGAGCTTTCCATTGTTTTTAAGTAAATTAATGAACTACCTTAGAGTCTTATAAAGTAGGTAGCACTTGGAAATAAAGAAAGGAAGATAACTGTTATTTCATTGATTTCAAGATATACTTTTGCTTTTAACTTTTCTGAAATTCGGATGTCACTTTGTTGGGCAAGCAGTCATAACTTAATTGGCAAGATATTTTTCTTTGTATGAGTTTCTTATTGACACATGAAGTTTCTTGATGACATATACTGAGTAAGACATTATGTAACTCACTTCACTTTTAAAGGCTGTGCGGCAAATATTTCCATCTCAATATTAAAATGTTCACTTGTCCTTAGTAAATTTCCTTCCATCAGAAATTCACTGCATGGAGTGAATTCAGTTCACATTTATCAGACTTATTTTTCACCCTGTTTTTAGGAGGAGAGAAACCTGGGATAATAAACATTGACATTTAGTAAAAAAAATTAAGTAAATGGCTTTCTGGATTGACAAAGAAAATAACCAGAACCATCTCCCGAACAGCCTACAGTGAACTGTCCTTGGCCCTAGGAAGACTGATAATTGAGAACGTCTTCCTCAGTTGGGCTTTTGGGATGGGTAGGCACTAAAAGGATCAGAAGCCAAAAATCAAGAAAGAAGATTAATATTTTAGAAGAAATATTTATACAATGAAAAAATGAAAGATTCACATATAGACATTTCCTCAAAGATGACATATGCACAGTCAGTATATACAACATGGCTAGAAATTAGAAAAGTACAATTAAAAAGGGAGACTGGTTCGTACTCACTAGGACATCAATCATCAAATATACGGAAAACGAGTATATGTAAGAATGTGGAGAATTGGCAGCTTCATACATTACGGGGAATGTAATGGGTGTGGCCATCTTGGAAGATAGTTTGGCAGTTCCTCAAAAAATTAAACACAGAGTTATATGACCTAATATTTCCACACCCAGGTGAAAATCTTCCAAGAAAATTCAAAACATATTTCCATGAAAAATCTTGTACATCAATATTTATAGCAATATTATTCACAATAACCAAAGTGCAAATAACCTGAATGCCCATCAAATGTGAATGAAAATATAAAATATGTATCTAATGGAATATTATCTGATCATGAAAAAGAATGAAGTACTGATATGCTTTACAACATGAATGAACTTTGAACCCTTTTGCTATGTGAAAGAAGCCAGTTGTAAACGACCGGTTATTGTACAGATCCAATCATATGAAAAGCCCAGAATCGATTAGTCAAGGGACATAAAGTAGGATCATCCAGTAGCCAGCTAAAGGTTGTACTAGATGTGTAGGTGAGCCCAGTTGAGATGAGCCAAGCACAACCCATGTTGGCAGAGCCACCCATCAATCTGTAGACTCAAAATCAAAAGTAAGTAGTAGTTGTTTAAGGCATTAGATTTTGCTGTTTGCTTTGCAGCAGTAGGTTACTGAAAGGATGGGATCAGAGCACAGACGAAAGGATTGGCAGAAGCTTGGATGGATCCAAGAAGACTTCTGCCATGGTTTGAAAACTCACTGTGAGGCTTGATTCCTCAATGTGGCAATGTTTTTCTTTTACATTTTTTATTTACATAAAGAGAACAGATTTCATATATACAATTTTAAGCACACAATGATACTTCCTACCCTCCCTCCTCCTTCCCTTCTTTTTTTCCCTTTAATTTGTTATAACATACTTTCAATTGACTTTATAATCACAGACTTAATTCTCCACTAATTGAAGAATGCAACAAGTAGAAAGTATAAAGACCACTCTTCCACAGGAGTATAGACAAGGGCTATAACCAATATTCAAATCTTAAGAAGTCAATTTCATTCACATGCATTGCATTTTTCGTACTCTACATATTAGCTACTGCAAATCAAAGATATATAGTTTTTGTCTTTTGGAGTATGGTTTATTTTAACTAAGTATAATGGTCTTCAGTTTCATCCATTCTCTATCAAAAGACAGGGTTTCATTCTTGTATATGGCTGAGTAGTATTCCATCATGTATGTTGAAAGGTGGAGTCTTGTGGAAGTGTTTGAATCCCAGGGTGAAGCCTTCATGAACAGGTGAATGCTGGCTCTTGAGAGTTCTCACTCCCAAGGGGCTGGATTAGTTACTGTGAGAGTGGAGTTAAAGCAAGGTTGCCCTTTGAGTCTTCTCTTTCGTAGGCACTCATTTACCCTTCTGCTTTTATAGGACATTATGAATCACACTGAGGCTCTCACTAGTGTTGCCTCCTGATCCTGGACTTCCCTGCCTCCAGAACTGTGAGTTAAATAAACTGCTTTTCTATATAGATTATCCCGTCTCAGGTATTCTGTTAAAGCAAATGGAATAAGATAAATTTCAAGAAAAAGTGACATTTATGTTGGAAGTGACATTTATGTTGGGAGGTGAATAGGAGTTAACCAGAGCAAGGAGGGAAATGATGAAAACTGTGTGTGTTGGGGAAGAGGTGCAAGAAAAAGAGATGTAGAAAAGAGAGGTCTAAGTAGTTGAACTGATAGTACTCAAAAAGCTCTTGAGGTGGGATGGTGCACAGGCTGGAGAGTGGTATGGAAAACATGCAGAGACTTAGCAAGAGAGCTGTGTAGGAACCACATTATGTGAGATCTTAAACATGAATGAGGGGCTTAGTCCTTATGCTGAGGAAGTCAATGTCAACTAAAGGCTTTTCATCCCACTTATTCTTTATATTATCATTCTATCTATAGGATGGAAAAATTGTTAAATTGTTTAGGAAAACTTTTTAGGAGAAGCTTGGCAGGTGGGAGGGGATGGTGGCCTGACTTCAGTACTAGAGTAGGGAATAGAAAGGAAAATGCACCTGAGAAATATCAATGGGTCAGAATGGGTCTGATTTGCTGATTTATTAGAAAAGGGTGAAGGACAAGGACCTGCCAGATATAATGCCATTTTGGTTTGGGCACTTAGATGGTATTGGTTTGTTCACTGATGTACAAAAGGGGGTGATTTTGAAGGTTAAAAATCAATTTGGTGTATAGTATATGCAGAATATTGTATTTTCCATAGATGGCCATGCCTATATGTTTGTTCCATGCCCTCATGTTTTTCTTTTTTCTTTTTTTTTTTTTTTTTTGACAGGCAGAGTGGACAGTGAGAGAGAGAGACAGAGAGAAAGGTCTTCCTTTGCCGTTGGTTCACCCTCCAATGGCCGCCGCGGCCGGCGCGCTGCGGCCGGCGCACCGCGCTGATCCGATGGCAGGAGCCAGGAGCCAGGTGCTTTTCCTGGTCTCCCATGGGGTGCAGGGCCCAAGCACCTGGGCCATCCTCCACTGCACTCCCTGGCCACAGCAGAGGGCTGGCCTGGAAGAGGGGCAACCGGGACAGAATCCGGCGCCCCGACCGGGACTAGAACCTGGTGTGCCGGCGCCGCTAGGCGGAGGATTAGCCTAGTGAGCCGCGGCGTCGGCCCCTCATGTTTTTCTTCAGTGTGACTGTTTCCTAGTGGAGGCAGGATCTAAGTTTGTTACCTCACCTTGAATCTAGGAAGCAGCTTGTGACTGCACCAGTGAATGGAGTCAGCAGAAGTGATTATGCCAACTTGAGGCTTGATTCTCAGGAGGTTCTCCCTTGGAATCTACCTACCATATGGTAACCAAGCCTGGGTTGGACAGAGAGGGCACATGTGGGTGTTCTAACCCGGAGTGCCCACTAGTCTTCCCAGTCTTCCAGCAGAGGCCCAGACTTTGTGGAGAGTAGACAAATCATCTTCTCTCTGACCTGTCTCAATTCATGACCCCCAAATGCTGTGAGACATGAGATAATTATTGTTTGGAGGCATTTATAAGACAGCAATAAACACACTACACTTGGGGTGTTTCTGAGACATTCACATGAAACTCACACATAACAGAATTTCACAAAGTTTAAGGAAAATTATTTTAAAGATGTTTATTTGGGTGAAAAAACATGTTGAATTTCATGCATGGTTTTTTATTCTTTTATTTATTTTTTTTTTAAAGATTTTATTTGAGAGGTAGAGTTACAGACAGAAAAAGGGAGAGAGAGAGAGGTCTTTCATCCACCGATTCACTTCCCAAATGGCTGCAACAGCTGGAGCTGGGCTGACCCAATGCCAGGAGCCAGGAGCTTCTTCCAGAACTCCCACATGGGTAGAGGGGCCCAACCACTTGGGCCGTCTTCTATTTCGCTCTCAGGACATAAACAGAGAGCTGGAACTGAAGAGGAGCAGCTGGGACATGAACCGGCACCCATATGGGATGAGGGTACCACAGGCAGAGGCTTAGCCTACTATGCCACTGCGCTGGCCCCATAGTTTTTTCATAATACACATTTTCTACAAACTCTTTAAATAGCCTCCCCATGCATGGATCTCTCAATTTTTACAACAAAAAACATTATCTTTTTAAATTCCATTTTTATAAATGTTTTTGAAGTTCCCTCCTACATTTCTTTTCCCTTCAATGTGGCAGGCTTTTCTTTCTGTAAGAAAACTTACATCAAGTGCACTGTCAGTTCTTACATTTCTATTTGTCAAGAAATTTTTTTAAAGATTTATTTATTTATTTGAAAGTCGGAGTTACACAGAGAGAGAAGGAGAGGCAGAGAGAGAGAGAGAGAGAGAGAGAGAGAGAGAGAGAGAGAGAGGTCTTCCATCCGCTGGTTTACTCCTCAATTGGCTGCAATGGCCAGAGCTGTGCCAATCCGAAACCAGGAGCAAGGAGTTTCTTCCAGGTCTCCCATGCAGGTGCAGGGGCTGAAGTACTTGGGTCATCTTCTACTGCTTTCCCAGGCCATAGCAGAGAACTGGATCAGAAGTTGAGGAGCTGGGACTTGAACCGGCACTCATATGGGATGCCAGCACTGCAGGCAGCAGCTTTACCCGCCACTCCACAGCGCCAGACCCTGTCAAGAAATTTTTGTTTTGCTTTCCTTAGCTTTGGTCAAAGAAGGAAGAAAGGGAAGAAGGGAGAAGGCGAGGGAGGATCTCCATTATGGAAGAAATGACAAGTCCAATGCCACTGCTGGAAAGAGGGTGGTAGGTGATAGTAATGACAACTGTGTTCTCTGGCACAAGCATTTGCAAGATTCTGACTTCCTGTACTGGCACAGATGTGCCCTGTCAGGGTGGGCATCATTACGTTCATTCCCACCATCCTCCCTGTCAAAAGAAGGCTGGCTCTGATGCCAAGAAATAACATCTGGGTTGTGTTAAGAAATTTTTATTGTTTCCTTTGGATTTGTGATGAAAGCACATAAAATTACAAGTGGAAGAAACATCATGCCACAAAATTGCATAGAATTATTACAAAAATGTGAATTATGCATTTTAAATAATTTGAGATAGAGGAACCAAAATATGTACATTTTAAAGAGCTTCAAATACTTTGTCCTATCTCATTGTTTCTTCTTAAAAGACAAAAGTCACAATGTCCAATCCATTACAAACAATATTAATACAATGCACAAGCACAACATTAAGTCCAAAGTAACGCAAGCAATGGCCCTTTTTTTTTGGAATTATTTAATGACTATTTATTTACTAGAGGAGTATCAATTAATGGGTGGTGATGCTGAAATGTTAAAATGAAATGTTACAAACCAAAAACACATGGCAAGTCAATAGAACTTTGAAAACTGGTTTGCACAGCCAAAACCACGCTATTCTCAGTAGTGTAAAGGTATCAGAGGGACACAGTCAAATTCAATATACAGCTCTACTCCCTATTAGAGGAAAAACCACAGTACAGAATTTCACACATTCAACAAAGAACAAGGCAAATACATAAAGGCACAAAACTGCACATCATATAGATCCTTTTTCTTTATCTTAGTCTATTTCAAGTAATATTATTAAATGATAATATCACTGTAGTAGTTTCAATGATGCAAGATGGACAGTGTTACACACTACCCCACAACTGCAAAAAGTGTCGTTGTACAGATATAAAAATGTGATTACAGTAAATGGCCAAATACAAACATATTGTAAAATGACTAGAGTCACTAAGATAATGAAATTCAACTACCAAAACTGTTTTGTGGAAGTCAAGGTTATTCAATCTTTCTTTGTTTAGCTCTGGACTAAAATGTGATACAATATTGTGTAATAACCATCATTGTGTTTGCTTATGAATGCTGTTAGTTCACTCTTCTGCAATTTTAGACAATCTGTGATTTTGTTTATAAAAATGCAGCATTCAGTTTTGACCATTCTTGCTTCTTTATGATTAATGCCTTTCTTTCAAAGTGCTAAAGTAGAATGATTTACAAAAGATTTCTCTTTCAGTGGAAGTTAGGTTTTATTAAGTGTCTAATTAACACACTAAGTCCTTCCAATCAAAATATAATCATCTCCAAAGAGGATGTGATTTTCCCCTTGTGCCTCATTACTTCTTTTTTATACTTTTCCTAATGTTTGAATTAAGCCTTCATTTTGATTAAAATGTAATTGTGACCCTAGTTATTGCTTAAAGATAAATAATTTCCATAAAAATATTAAATTCTTAAAACACAATTTTCAAGACACACTGGTTTTTCTGTTTTAAAATGTTTTGCTAAGCTACACTCAGACAGGTTTATTTTAAATTAACATAAAGCTATGAGCATTTTGCTTCTGGTGTTTAACTTCAAAGTTCTTTGTGTTACTTTCTAAATTATATTTTTCTCTATATAGTTATTCTTCCTTGATTAGACCTTTCAACAATATTTTCAATCACTTTTATCATCACTGTTTCTCTTAAGCCACCTAAAACAGAAATGTAAAAAGACACAGTTAAGTGGATTGAATGCACATAGTAAATATATAATGAAAGCTTTCGAAATGTTAGAATAAAATTAACATCTGTCAGACTTTAAAATTATGGAAGATACTAAATTTTCATTTTATTAGCCTATACATTTTATACAATCTAACCATTAAACAAGCTTAAAATCTGATGCTTAAAATTCAATTTGATTCTGCAAAATACATATCAAATTCATAGTCTAAATTCAAAGTCTACCTCAACTTGCATCAATGGATCCATCCATCATTTCTTAGTATTTCCACATAATTTAATATTCATTTAAACTACATGTTAGACCTTTTTTTCTCTATCCATATTTCCTTGTGGAAGATATTTGAGTCACTGCCAATTGAACACACATCTACATTTAGTGTGTATGTGTGTCTGCATATGCACTTAAATGACTGAGTGCATACATATATACATGGAGATAATATATATCATTTATAGTGGGTTTATGTATTCTCTAGATAAATATTGTCTTCTCTATATTA